TGTCATCGGTCCTCGATATATCTACAAAGTTTTAACGGATTCTGACCGTTTAAAGTCAGTGAAAATCACGCCCAAAGGAGTCGTTAGAAACAAACATACAAGTGAACCTAATATAAAGCGTGTAAAAAGATATTAAATACAATTCGTGATTACGGATATATTCCGAGAGTATTCATTTTATTAGGTATCTTATTGTCAAATTCATAATACGAGTACATAGATAAATACTATTGATATCAACCACCGCCGACAGGCTAACAAGGATGCTTTTTGAAGGTAGACTGCCTTTTTTGTCCCGACAAGTAAGAAACCATACAAAAGGTGGCCAAATGTGGCCTTGAAGCCATATATCCTATTCATTATTATTAAGGGCTATATCTGTACCTGAAAATATTATTATACGCATTTATTGAACAGCCGTGTAAATATGAGCAATGGGCGGCTAACACCATAAACTACAGTACTTACAGGTCTGCGCCGTATATATGTATGTACATACATACTTACTTACACATATTTTAATTTTAATTTACACATATTTTAAGTGAGTTTGTTTGTAACGCTTTCACGCCTAAACCACTAAACCGATTTTCAAACTTCTTTCACTAATGAAAAACTAAATTATCAGCGAGTAACATAGGCTACTTTTTACCATACCACATACCACCATACCTTTTTAAGATACTACACCATTAAAGTCGTGTAAGGAACATTAGGAGAGAAGAAGAAAATTTTACTGATATTGGTTGTTTTATTTTTAAATTCGATTTGATTCGATTATATTAATAAACTTAAATGATTTAGTGAAGGTACAAATTCCTGATTGGTAAATGTTAGTGCTATTGGAGTCACAATAACCTTCAGCCAACACATTCAGCCAACCTTCTAATAGTCTATGTTCAATTTGCATTTATTATGTGTTGATCGATATATTGTACAGTTGACGCCCTTGTCCCACCGGCCAGTAGGACCGGGACTGTCCCTGTCTGAATCACAGGAGGAACGTACAGGTACGCCTCGGCTTCATTGCAATACTGCCTCAATACTGTTACCCGTCGGAAACTCGCCCAATCTCCTACTCTACTCCCTTACCTTATCAAGTTTCCTTATCTTTTATTACCTTCTGCCTTTATCCTGTTATAAAACAATTACATTCTTTAGAAGCAGTGGCGGGCCCCCAAACTTAGTGGGCCTTCGGACCCTGTCCAGCAAACCTCATTTAACCTTGAGGCCTATGAGAAATCAGTTTTAATTTCATTTTATAAAAAGTACCGTTTGGATTCCATTCAAAATTGAGAAAATGAGAGTATGGCCCCTTTTGTTTTTTGCACCAGGGACTTTGGTTATCTAACTACGCCTCTGTATATAAGGATTGACGTCAGGCAGGCGGCCGATTTATAAAAAACAAACACACCCTTCCTTTGCAACGTTACCTAACGCCGACAATTGATAATATGGCAGAAAGAGAAAAGGCAAAGGATAAAATAAAAATATTAATATTTTTGGACATATAACACACAGCGCCATCTAGTTTCAAACTAAGCAGATAAAAGCAACTATGAAAGGTAGATTGACTGATAGAATACTTATATACTTTTTTTGGAAATAATTACATATTATATATAAACACATATTATACATAGTACAAAGAAAACACCCAGACTCCTGAACAAATATTTGCAGATACAAACATTTGGTTCGATCCGGGAATCGCACCCGAGACCTCAGCCCAGGCGCCGCATACGCACCACTGCGCCACCGAGACAGTTTGAGCAACCAAAGCACTGAGGTGATTAAGTAAAGGGAACCACGAGCTTTGGATGAGCATCTTGCTTAGACCGCAGTCGCGAGCCACACAGGACATAAGAAATCTACTTTATTTTATCTGCACTCTTTATTATGTCATCCTCAGTACCTAGATTCTTTATTCTATTAATTAACTTTATACTATCGCATCTACACATTTTCTCTTCGTATCACATAATTATTATTCAAGTATGGTACTCTTATTCCGCTTTTAGTTCTTGAAACAAGTCTAGACGACTGTCTAATTTAAATGTATACGATAAATCAACTTGGGTATAGTCAATTCAATACATTCTGTACGAGTTAACGACCTCAATGAATAGAAAGTATTGTTGCCAAAATGCAGGGAACGTTGAAAGTGCTCACAAGAAAGTTGATGGCAACTAAACGTTTTTAGCCTTCTCAGGTTTTTTTTAAATGCCTATGCGATGGAACGCTATGCGATGGAACGCTTAATGCTGTAATGGCTGCGGTTTATTACAAAAAGTTAGACATTGTTTTCAATTGCTCTGTTTATAAGCTTAGTTGCCTAATGAGAGACAAATATGTAGAATTTCTATATAATATAATATTTCCGGACATCTGACACACAACGCCATCTAATTTCAAACTAAGCAGAGGATCTACTATGAAAGCTAGATTGACTGAAAGAATACTTAAATACTTTTTTTTTGTAAATACATACATATTCATACATAGAAAACTCTAAAACCAATATTTGTAGATCATACAAACATGTGGTCGGGAATCAAACTCGAGACTTCAACACAGCAGAATGAATTAAACATATCAGAATATGGGACCTCTCTTAACTACTGAGAAGCTACAGATGAAATGGCGGCGTACAGAATCTTAGCCAGAAATAATTGTTGCTGGTTGTTTTATAATTTATCCGCAATTTTCAAATGAATCTATCACAAAGTTTTTCATGATGTTACGAAAAGGTACATGAAAATACATGGTAATATTACCGTATTCAGAGATATTCAGTACGCGAATTTGGTAGTAGCAATACGCCAGGTTAATAGAAAAATAACATAAGCAAAGATCGAAGCTCACAGAGCACATTTTTCTTAATAATGATTCCCAGCTATCGAAGTGTCAACTCGTTTGGGAAAAAAATAGATTTACCATTTGATCCGGGCTGTCTGATAACAGTGTACTGTTGCTTGTGAGTCGGGTCGAAAAAGTCAATTTCCTTTTTTCGTCCTTTAAATGAAACATCGAGATCGGCCTTGAAATACAATATTTATGTAAACAATCTCAAAATAAAACCTTAGATCTAAATAAAGACATACATACGCCAATACTGTTACATTATGGTACCACTGTGTTTACGTCCGTTTGATTCTAAACTCGTCTCTCTAAGATTATTCTTTTCTGTTTAGATTAACTAGAATCGTACATTTATTACCTGTACAGATTTATCATTGCTTACATCAGAATGAAATTCTAGTTTCTTTTAATTTTAGATTGTGTAAAACTAAGCAAGTTTATACCTACGCTCAAACTTTCTGATGTAAAGATAATAGAATAATTACAATTTAACTTAGGGTATTTAACATAATTGTCCAAGGTAGACGGTAAAGCGTCATTTACTTCATTTACTACGTTCACCCCTTCTTCACTTATTCTTCAACATGCCCAAACCACCGCAGTATTCCTTTGTCAATTCTTGTCAGTATATCTTCTTTACCACCACTTTTACGTGGGTATTTATGTCAACTACTATCCTGTACATCTATATACATATAAAATGCTAAGTTGGTTTGTGTACGCTTTAAAAATTCTGCACTGATTGAGCTTTGATCTGCACTGATTGAGCTAATTTTAACACGATATACAACACGCTTCCATAAAACATAAAACCCATCCATATATAAAAACCATCTGGTTTTTATCTATTTTTCGCGTCAGTTTTGTTTTTAAATTCTCATCAATGCAGACACAATGTGCCACAGCAAAGCGTGTCAGGTTACAGCTACTATAATCTAAATACATGAACCTTTAAGAATGTTTAAACAAAAAAAGGAAGGATAAGGGCCATCCCTTTAGAACTGAAACATCCTATATAGGTAGTACTTAACCAGGTACTTATTCCATTTTAAACGCGCACGTTACGTTCAGTCAGCCTGTGCTTCAACATTACATTCAACAGTATTGATTTCATTTTCAGGGTTGGAGCTGCCATTTTGTTTATTTCGTATACTATAATACCATTCTTGCACTACCTCCAGCGTACAAATGTACTTGTAATTTTTTAATAAATAAAGTAATTTCACATGAACTCTTCTGTTTCAAATTCTAAACCTAATCCAAAACATGCATAACAATCCCTCTAAACATAAATTTAAAATTGTTTATCTTAATGACATGTCTTTTGCAAATAAATGTTTAGCAGTGAAGTCTTTCGAGTAGTAAAACAAATGTGAGCCAATGAAACCAAAACATAAACCACTCACTGATTACACAGTGCCAGAAATGCAGACACACCAATGAATCAGTGTTACAATGAATGTGTGTTGTAGAAGCGTAAAAGGTCACAATTTATAAATAAATATTTCTTTAAAAGGAGTACTCTTAAGGGCAACTTATGATTGTATCTACTCGGTATATGAACAAAAATGCGGTCAAATTGAATTTAAGTCAAGAACGATAATGACCAAAGAAATGATGGATAAAGTGCATGAAAGACAACATGTTTAGAAAGGAAGTCTTTAAGGGATAATGCAAGTCTTAGATGAGGTCTCAAGTCAGCATCATCATGCAAGGCCTGGGGGGTCGCTTAGTTTCTGAGTAAAAGTACTACCACCGACCATAATTCATATTAATTTTAAGTTTGAACTTTATTAGGGTTCTTTTGTCAAAGACTATACCTCTATAATAAAGTTTCATCATTTATTTTATTTATTATAAAATAACCTACAGTTTGACCATAGATTTTAACCATGAACAAAAGAGTAAGTATGGTATGTATGTGTGTGTATGTTGTGTCGTTCAAGCAGAAGTGTGTTATAATTATTTTAAATAATTAAATTTACTTCTGATGTACTTTATATAAAGAAAAATAGCTTTCTGCACTTCTTCTATACATAAACTTTAACTGTGCCAAATTTCACGTTCATCCGATAGCAATTTTCTTAAAAAGGGGTCTTCACGTATTAATATCTAGGTAATAGTCATCTATCACTCACCAAGCAGCAGCAGTATCAGCGGGTTCTGGAACTGCTCGATGTATTTCTTCCATAGCGGCTCCTGCTCCTTAACTTGGAACTCGTTGGGACCCACGAAGTTCATTCGGTCATTTGCCTCGCGCCATGAGAGGCCGCGACGAACGTCCACGTTCAGACGTTCCGCCACCTGAGAGAAGATCGTACATAAATAAATTTATTGTATAATTGGGCTTTAATCTTTAACTATTAATAGAATTGAGAATAAATATACCTTTAATTTAAATTACTAACTGAACTAGACCCAATTTAGTAACGACAAAAGTTCTGGGAATAGCTTACTAAGGTAAGTTGAATTCTTTGATTACATTAAAAAAGTAGGGATCTTATTTGGCCATTAGCCTTAATTATTAGGTAATTAAACCAAAATTTGCGTAGTGTGATTCTACTAGGAGGTAGGAATAATGGTTAGCCGTAGCTATTACATTTTTATAAAACAAGCTTAATTGTGTATTGTGAATTTTCGAGAATTTACGAGCAAATTAAAGAGAAATTTGTATGCGATAACGGTTTTGAAGAGTAAAAAAAATAGTAAAAAAAAAGTTTTGAAAAACGAAAAAAAAACACGCTTTTTATGCCTGTTGTCAATAGTAAAAAGCACCCCACGCTTTTATTTCAAATTTATTAAAATTTATTTTCTATTTTTTAGTTTGGTTTTCTATAGTGTTTTTTTTAGACTATTTCTTTTTTTTATTAGTGTATTGTCATCGGTCCTCGATATATCTACAAAGTTTGAACGAATTCTGACCGTTTAAAGTCAGTCAAAATCACGCCCAAAGGAGTCGGTTACAATCAAACATACAAACAAACATACAAGTGAAGCTAATATAAAGCGTGTAAAAATGATAAATTTTCTCTTGTACGCGTAAATACGTACGATTTACACATTAAGTCCTCTGGTAAGCCTACACAGTTTATTTTTCAGTTTGATAATGCTTCATATAATTGCGATAAATTACCACGAATGCCGATACGACCATCAAGAAAAGAGCGTACTCCTTCCTCAAAGGCCGGCAAGGCGCTTGTGACTCCTGAGCTAGCGTTATTGGTGTTCATTAGCGGCGGTAGTCACTTAAAATCAGGCGACCCGTCTGTCGTTTACCCCCTTTCATAAAAAAAAGCCGCTCTCCAAGAACAAGAGAAGGTATTTCGTTGTTAGGTACTAATTGATATATTTACAAGACCTGACGAACTAATGAAAACACCATTAACAAAAATTACATATAATTAATTTACCACAAATACGTTGTACTAAAAACATAAAAGAAACAAAATGATGGGAGAATTGATGGAAGTTATGTACTTTAAGTTATTGGAAGTCATCAATCTCATTAACGTAAACCCCGTGTGAGCTGTTGATTAATTAGATCAATTTAAGGATTGGCTGGAACGCGGAAAGGTAATTTATTTCAGGTAAAATACTCGTTTCTTGCTTTGACAAGTAATCTCGTAGCCCCGTCAATAGTGGAGCAATCTTGCGTAAGTTTTCCTGCCTTATTACATTACACACCTACATACAGGTTGCCTATTGGTTCACTTTCACAAGGGACTGGAAGTGAACTGAACCGGATTGTAGCTAGTGATGAAAAAAAAAATCCTATAAGACATCGGAAAATACTGATGTACAGAAGAAGTATCAATCGCAAACTGAGTCTTTTGAAGCTACTATATTTAAGTATGAATGATGGTACCGAGCCCTGTAAACCCAAACGTACTAAGCGAGTGTAACAGTTTTTTGTAACAGACTCCTTTGGGCGTGATTTTGACTGACTTTAAACGGTCAACTTCAAACTTTGTAGAAATATCGAGGACCGATGACAATACACTAATTTAATAATATTACAATATATATTAATATATACAAGAAAATAAATTTGAAAAAAAAGCGTGGTATTTTCCATTTTTTAGTTTGGTTTTCTATAGAAAGCGTGTTTTTTAGTTTTTTTAACTATTTTTTTTTTCATCAAAATGTTCATACTTTCATTAACGTTTTGTTAATACCTTCGCTCAAAGTTTACTGGCTACGCATTCTGATTAGCTACTTTCTGTATTTGTAAATCCAAGTCTTTCATTCATAAGACCAAATGATTGTCCACAGTGTGTCAAATGTCAGCGCACATAAGGAAGTTTAATCCAATGTAGGAGGAACCGGAACTTCGGTAACAATAAGCCTAAAGAGGGTTGATCGTCTGCCCATTGTATCTGACCAGATGTTTTATAAACATTATCAGTGTTATTTTTTAATGAATGGCAGATGTTGCTCTGGAAATTGATACCATTGGTACAGAGGATCTTTCTGAACGCGCGAGTTAATTAATTGTTATCTGTTTGTTGGAAACATGATGCAGGGATAATTACGAGAGAAAGCTAATGGTTAATTTAAATGGAAATTAGTGGAAATGGCATATGCAGTCTTTGAATGTTAGACTAAGAATAGAACCTCAATAAAGCGCTACAAATTGAGGCTATGTACAATAGAAGACTTGCCTAATGTCAAAAATAGTATCATTTTCTTGTTTAGATAATGTCAGGTGAACGGTAACGATTTCAAACCTTAAGTTGTTAAAGTATCGGAAGCTGTCAGGGGTACAGAAAAGGAAGTTTCAGATACATCCAGAAAAAAGAACTTTTGAAGATAGATTAAATAATACGGTTAGACTAAACAGAAGGTTGCAGGAGAAAATACACACATGTGTGTATTTATGAGTTGGTTAATTGAAGAAAGATCGAAAAGGTAACTTATACGGATAAGAAGAAAAGTAAGAATTTCTATCACGACCTAATTTATTCGCCACATCATCATAAGCCTACCGCCGTCCACTACTGTATGAAAGCCCCCAAGAAGTGGCAACTATCTTCGGTGCTTGCCACTTTCTTGTCGTCGAGCTATCGTGCCGCAGGACGCCCTACACTACGTTTGTCTAATTGCGGTCTCCACTCTAACACATGTGAGCTCCAGCGACTATCAGTCCACCCAGAGACATGACCAGCCCACATCCACTTCAGCGTTTTTATTCTCCGTGCGATGTTGGTTACTCTCGTTCTCTGTCGAATAACGTCCTAAGCCTCAGTGGCAATCAAGTGTCACACGGACGTAGTAACACGCGAGTATTTTCTGTTATATGGAGAAATGTGACTTGTTATCTAATAGTTAACGGTGATAAAACAAACCAGTATTTGCTAGCTTTTATTTTAATTAAATTCAATCGTCTTGGCTACCGGCAATGAATAGCAATTAAAGTTTGCTGTTCGCAATTGTTTAATGCAAATCATAACATGTGACTTGCGTGTTGCTAAAACGACAACACAGTAGGTACATGAGTATTGAATTTATAAATTCGGAGTATTAATATTCGACAACTACTCTAATTATTATTTAAAAATGAGTTCTCTTTATTCCAGTATGTAATCAGTATATTAAAAACAAACCATAATTCGTTCTAACAGTAAACACTTTTGATAAAATTAATGATACTTGAAATCAGATAATACCTTATTCTTTAAAGTGCTATGCGATATTTAGACGGAAATAGGATCACAGAGTATTATTATTTTTAGTAAGTAAATAATAAAATTTGCCAAGTCTTAGATGAGTATATTTAACATTAAGTTGGTCCTACTTGAAAACAGGCTTCTTCTCATTAAAATATATCTATGATGTTCTTAACAGTATAGAAGGCACAGCTATTTCACTATAAGCACCATCCAATAAGAACAAAAATAACTATTTTTTTGCTGCATTTAGATAGTCGCCGAACAATTTGCGGATTAATTCGGCGAATAATTAGTACCGTAGCACCGAAGCATTGAATACACCCCAGCAAGTGTTTTACATACTATTCGTGCCTAATCGTCGGTACGCGGCGAGTATCTAAATAACAATGAGCATTAGAATAAGAAACTATCAAAATTTCCGACTTGTAAAATTATCTGAAAGATTTGAGTATATTGAGTATTGATTTACTTACAGAAATAAATATCATTTCGTTTCATTTTACCCTCTTTTACTTGTGTAAAATAGGGTTTGTACCATGTTCTTACTTAAATAACTAAAGTATATGAAAAATACTAAACTTCTGAGTTACTAAACGATCTACACGAATATAATTAGTATTCCTACTTGTACACCAGCCACGTCCTGGTTTCGCGCGGGTTTAATCTAGAAAACAACATTTCTTTAGTACTTTATTTTTATTATCTCTTATGGTTTAGCCTACGGTATGGTTTGCAACATACAGTTCTTTTTGTACTTAAATAAATCATAATCAAGTTTTATTATTGTGCATTATATCTACCTTGAAAAATTTACTAGCCGATTGAAAAAACCACGTCAAAATCCGTTTCGTAGTTTAAGAGTTCCCGCATAGGTATATAGTCACGACACATAGGCGACTTAGTTATATACTATGTAAAGATAAAATATTGCCTCCCCAATCTCAGTCGATGTGAAGTAACAGTACATTTACATAAACCGATTTAGACTGCACGGCACGGTAAATCGACTATTTCCCTGTATAATGTCGTTGTATGAAGGTGAGATGGTTAATACACCTCAACCTACTTGACTACCTCAAGAATACCGCATAGCACACGAAAATCCATTTTTAAATGATATGGATTTTCGTTAATATTTTAACTTCTGAATCTATATTTTTAGCTCGTCAATCGATTTTAGCTTATCCGATTTCATCTCATTGCAAAAATACTTTTATGCAGGACTATACTTGCATTGGTGTACTTCTGAGTGTATTTTTAGTTTATGGCTTGACGGCGCTGTGTTTGATTTTGAAGTCTTGGAAAGGAAGGTGTAATTCAAGTGTGATTTGCAATCTTTTAAATAGAGATGGAAAGTGAAATATTTAGGGAATCAAATCCTAAACTACTTGTAGCGATTTATAGAACTTTTTCTTAGCATCCCTTGTAAATAACAATACAATTGTTAAAAAAATCTTAAGAGTTCAATTTTTACCCTACTTCGAATTTTCCTGTCGTAATAAAACTTTATATGATACAGTTTTAACGACAATTCCTCCACAAGATAGCAAATGTGGGCAGCTAAACATCCTGTCCCGGTAGGTTTCATCAAACCTTTATAAAACCTGCCACCTGGGCCTCAATTCTGCTATTTTA